GTTGTCCTCGGGATAATCCCTGAACCGGTAGAGGGAATCAGAGTCTGGTACCCTAGACTTGGTGCTTTTTTTCTTTTTCGAACCTGGATGGTCACCCTCTTCTTCTTCACCTCGGCATCCGGGAAGCCCGAAGACTTCCTCTTCTTCTCCTCCTTTACGGCAGCCCAGGGCTATCCCGAAGCAGAGGGTTCAGCAAGCGAGGTTAGATCCTCCTCGTCATCTAACGACCTGAGCTTGGTGGTATTGGGAAAACCTGTAAGAAGAAAGAAGACTTAGCGATGTGTAAGCCAAGAGTATAAAGGTAATCATTTGGTAGAGAGCCTCACTATGGGAACGGGCCTCCCACTTGCCCTTCGAGAGCTTGCGCCATGCGTGCTCAGAGTATGCCATTTGCTTGAACATACCCTCTATCCACTCCTTGAAGCGGGGGATCTCATTAGGAACTTGGAGAATCGCTGCACAACAACAAACACAAGCAATCAAAAAGAGAATATGCCAAATACTCGAAAAGGAAAAGACTTACAGGAGGCATTCCACTTTTCGGGGAACGGTAGAAATTCGGAGGGGATGAGGTGATCAAACCGAGGTGTTTCAGTGTTGTTCACGAAGTGTCAGAGGAGGATTACTATCCTCTAAAAGGACGGGTGAATCTGCCCAAAGCAGACCTCGTACCTTTTGCAAAAGTCGAGGACTATGGGGTCCACCAGGGCAAGCGTGAAGGAGTAAGTGTAAACAGTAAAGTACCCCTTCACGTGAGTGGTGATATCGTCGTTCGGCACGAGGAAGACCACCTCATTGCCCTCCCAGTTACAGTCTATCCGGACTGTAGGTAGTGTTTCCTGAGTAACGGAGAATATGTACCTCGATGCTCCCTCGCCTCGGTCCTGTTGACTGGAGGCCTTCTCGACGTTAATGTCGCTCCCGATAGAGCATCCCCCGGGTACGAAGCTTTTTAAGGGAGGCTCCTAGGCCACCTCAGGAATGGTCACCTTGGCGTCTATGGCCGGGTTTGTAGATGAAAGAGCGGTATGCTGAGGCACGGATTTAGAAGTTTTTGCCATCGAGATCTGGGAAATATGAAGGTTTGAAGAAAAAATATGAAGATTTAAAGATGTGATGAAGATATGAAGATCTGGTTTGAAGATTCCAAGAGAATGTATGAAGATTAAGGATGAAGATATGAAGGTCTAAAAAGCATTGGATGAAGATTTGAAGGAGATAAAGGCAAATAGAAAATTAGAGGGTAAGTCGAAGAGTTTTGGAATTGAAAAGTGGAAAAGTGAAGAAGAGTCGGAGTTTTAATAGGGAGAGAACAATCAATGCGCGACGTCTCGCATTCGAGGACAGTCAATCAGCGGCTGACATGTGTCCAAAGTCAGAACGACGCGACTGATGGGATGTTCTATTGACCCAACAACTCGGTCATAACATACGAAGGAAGGAACCGAGGTTCACATTTCGTTTCCTGTCGATTCGATAAATCTACCCTCAGGGAAACGAGGGGACTATTTGTGTACGGGGAAAATCGAGGGCGATGTCTACCCTGATTCCTCGATGAAGGAACGAAGGGGGGAACACGGATCCACGACATTATAGTCGGGGCCAGAGACCCATCCAGACCCGGGAAGGATGAACGATGTATCCGACATCGGACGCGGTAAAGCGAAGCAGCCCGGACTGAGTATGACTTTTAAACCTCGGGAGACGCGGTGGATTATGCATGACTGATAGGGGACCGTAATACTCGCCCTCAACCGGATATCACGGCGCGAATCTCGCTCGATATCGATTATGGAACAACAATTACCAGGAAAAAAAAATTTACCTTTTTTAGACCCTTACTAGACTGAAACTCCCGTACTATATATAGGAAAAGTTTTTCTTTAGTCTGACACATTGTAACACGCAATTCAAGGAAACAAAAGTCTATTTTATCTTCTAGCCACTATAAAGAATTTTGTCACTTGTACTGTTTCATTCACGAAAAGGCTCGAATCGAGGACGGAGTCGCTGTTCAATCTAAGATTAGGCTTAATCATAACATTGTGATTGGTTTGATCGTTTATTTCGTCTTTGATTTATTTATCTGCTATTCTTAATTATTCGTGCTGAATTAAATCACACGTCCTTAAAACCGTGTACAATTTTAATTGTTACCTATTTTTGGGTAAACAAATTTATTATTGAGAATTTTCATAAAGCACTATCTTTTAGCAGTAATTAGCCATCTATAGATACCATTTGCTAGATTACGGATTATAGATACCTTTTCTGTGGTTATAAGATGTATTTGATGTATTTAAGCTATTGTATTCATGAATACAGTAGCAAAAATAGGCGTGAATCAGGGAAGTCCAGCTAATCAATTGTTGTATTCGAGTGTATTCGACTGTATTCATGGAGTGAAATATGGGGTTACAGCTAGACAGATTATTGTATTCGACTGTATTCACAGCGTGAAATAGGAAATTACACTGTTTTTAAAACGGAAAGTGAATCAATTAACATAATAGACTCCTAATATAACTCAACAAACTCAATTATAACACACAAATTTTGTATTTTCAGTTATAAAAAATATTCTCAACCGAAAAATACTCCAAAAACATAGCAATCTTCAGAGAAATTATATAATACATCTGAATACATAAATTATATTAATTAAAATAACAAATGAATACATTCACGGTGTATAGCAAGACGGTGAATACAATGAAATACATAGAATACAGCGGGATACATTGAAATACAATGAAAAAAAAGACAGTGAATACAATGAATACATGGAATACAACGACATACATTGAATTACAATGGAAAAAAAACAATGAATACAATGAAATACATGAAAATACATTGAAATTATTAAATCTGCTTTATCTCTGCGTTTAATGGAGTCCTCATCAAACCCAGCTTCACGCAGTCGCTTCCAAATGACTTCATCTGTCAAAGGGGTTCTTGAACTTGAAACCCTACCTGACGCCGAAATAGGCGTTCGATTCACCGAAGTCAAAGACAGTCTCTCTGACCCAAGACTTGTCATTCTTGATTTCTCTACACTTTTGATGAAAATCAAAGATTCAACTTTTCTTAATCAATTTGTTGAATTCTTGCCCAATAAGCCCCTTTACTTTTCCCTTCACAAGAACAATAATCGATTTGAAGTCTCTTGAAAATTGTACTGGTTTTTTCTTTGTACTGATTTTTTGCTTCAACAAGACTTCTGTGATAAGATGCCGTTAGAAGGAGGAAGAGAGCGAAAATTTTAGTGGGATGGGGGAAGAGAATGGGATGTATCAAAGTAGAGAGAGAAAGAAAATAGTGTAATTGAATAGCGTATTTAGTGGCTTAGGGCTAGGACGTAACCAAATTAAATATTTTGCTACAAACCTTAAAAGGTATCTATAGAATATAATTTTTTTAAATGGTATTTATTTAAAATAAATAAGATGTTAACCTTTGTTATGGGAGGGAAACTTCCTTTATTATTTATCATGCCAAGAAACCACCTCGAGATTTAAAGCTGGGCCGTGCAACTCACACACATCGCCTATTTTTCCACGTCATATTTTTTATCTTTATTTGTTATTGTTTGTTTGTAAAATGTGACATTTTTGCTGCCTTTTTTACTATTTTCTGCACCATCTTCTACTCTTTATATATGAATATATGGGTGTTGTCGACGAAATGGAGGGAGAAAATTAGAGATTGTTGGAGGATTTCGTTTTTTTCGTCCAAACCAATGCCCCCTTTAACTGGATTCTGTATTTTATGCGGAAAAGGAGATAAAAAAAACAATATTTATATCAAATTCTTAGCAATCAAAACTTCCCTCAAACTCCATTTTCTTTAATGGAAAGTTACCTCTCTCGCCATTTACTTTGTCTTTTCATCACGCTCACCATCTTATCACCGATAAAATTTAGGTGTATAGTTGAAAATTCGGCCAAAGTAAAGGGAATTCTGCATTGTCTCTTTATAATAATAAACTTTTCTGCATATAGAGACATCATGACAACTAGAGTATTTCAATATTTAAGAATCTGTTAGTGTTAAGTGGTTAGAAAGTAAAACACGTATATGTAGAAAAAGTAGTAAAACATTTGTGGTAGTTCCTTAGCCTAGTACTCTGTCTAGTTTGAGGAAAATTAAGATTTAACACAATACAAGTTAGGTTGTACCCAAATCTGCCTAGTAGCCGCGCCGCACGACAGTTTTAATCCCGTTTTAAGTTTGTTAGGTGTTACCTTGACTACTCTACTACTATACAGTGCTACTAATTAAAGTTTGACGTACTCATATATAACCACTGCGAAAATTGAATCACCAGTACTATTTCCTCAGAAAATTAAAGATTGGAAAAATCACGAGTAAATGCTACACAATGAATGATAAATTCATACTGTCTGAGTTTTCTTAAGGAACATATGCACTAATGTTTCTTGCTCAAATTAACAGTTTATCTGTGAAAGAAATTAAATCAGACAATTCAATCCAATTCAAAACATTGAGTTTTTGGGGGTAGAGTAATTCAAAACACTTCAAGATCCTTTAGGATGGTCTTATATATTTACCTGATATAGAACATTTTTATTGTTCGAACAACATTCGCATCTATAACCTAGTATTTTAAGTGACGCCTAGATTTTAAAGTGAATATATGAGTGAATTCGCCAGCGCTGCATCACTTATTTGCCGTGAGATTGAAAATATGAAAGATCTATATATAGCATTATTATGTGTATGATACCTTTATTTTTTTAAATGTGGCATAGTCGCATTTGAGTTATTTATGTTGGATTTTACCTGCTTCTTGCTTTGACTTGAATTTTTCAAATGTTTGTCCTTTTAACTTTAGTTTAAGTGGAAGTTAGAACACGAAGCCATACATGTAACTTCGGAAAAAAAAACAATCTAAACATTTTACTGTTTAAAAGGTGATGATAAAGTCCAAACTCTAGAACCAAACAAACATAATAAATGCATCAGCAAAGACGATCAAAATAAAGACCCATCCCACTATTTTATAAATCTTTAAAACAAATTAATATGCAAACACAGGAGAATTCTAAATCGGACAACGAACTCAAGTTGAGTCTCAAGAACTAATCAGTCTACAATCAGTTTAAGTTTCCAATAATATCACTGAAACAATTCAAACAAAATGTTGAAAATTTGCAATCAAAATAAGGCTTCAGCACCCTAGCTAACGTAATAGACTAAATCCACAAAAATTAAGATAAGAAATACAGTTACATCTCTTTGAAACTCTGACCGTGTTTTCCTTCAAATATTGCACATTTGATCTTCGATCGGTGATGACAAAGTATCCAATCGACCTGAGAAAGCATAACAAACAAATGAACTCAAGAATATTCAAGCTAGAAACTATTGAGACATAATGTAATTCAACACATTAATAGTGTGTTATCTCTATCTGAAAATTTAATCTTTAACATGAGATTATCACACAATTCAATATGACACCAGTGCAAGCAACATGTGTTGGGTTCAGATTTCACCACCATTCAACAAACAATGGGTTCAGATTTCACCAACATTCAACAAACAATGAGAATATGTCACGTATTTGGCTCATGAAAAAGAATCCGGCTACTCGTGAGAAGTATATATTGAGACATGAAATAACATAATTAAATACTAATTAAAAGTTTGATAATTCTAACAAGTTAAGCATTTAAATGAGATTAATGATCGCAATTCAACAGAAGTATATTATGGTTTTTGGGCTGAATACCCTAATAAATGGAACCAACCTTTTAATCAACAATCAATGGTGAGAATTGGGAGAAGCAGAGGAAGGCTCCTCGTGTTCACCATGAATCCTAGCTGGAATCTGAAAATCTGAAGTGAAATGTCTGTTGAAAATTTCTGCTTGATGATGGACATGGTCCATCGGCGGCCGCTCTTCCCAAGCATGAATTAACTGTGAAAAATTGGACTGAAGGGGTTCCCTTTGAGGAAATACAGAACCTTGTGGTTGTGGGGAGTAGAATGTTTGCTGATGATGGGGTAGTATCCAACCTGCCATTCTTGAATAATTTGTTTCAAAATTTTGACTTGGGAAAATGGTTTGGTGGTCATGACTTGAAGAAGCCCTATGGTTAGAATTGTGGTCATGAAAAGTAGTACTATGAAGAGATAAGCCAAGATCTTCATTCTGAAATGAAGCTGATCTTGGCAATATTATCTCATGTGGGTAGTTTTGGAAATTCATTAATGAAGTCCCTGAATTCATTGGAAAAAATGATTTCATAGTATCACCAAGCGACTGTCTTTCTCCTCCTGTATGCGTTTGCATCATATATGAATTAGAAGAATTACCACCACTTGGGTTATTTTCTTCTAATTGTCTGTGAAGCTCAAACTCTTGTTGTTGTTCCAAGACAATATTATTACCACTTGAGCTGCCATCAGCTTCTGTTATATTTGTGTGCATATTGTTTGCATCATGAATACTGGGGTTCCAAGGAGGCAACTCATCTAACTTATCAATGGCGTTTTTCGCCTTTTTGATAAGCCAATCGACAGCTTTACTAGGCCGGTCATAGCCTAATCGGTCTTGAACGTCGTAGAATTGAATAGCAGTGTGAGCAGATAAACGGACTCTTCGGTCTCTAGGTCCTTTTGCAGTATAAACTTTGCTGTGGCGGTCTTTTTTACCAGTGCACCGGAGAATATGGCCTCCTTCTACTTGCACTATCTCTCCTCCTGTTGCTCTCTTCATTATAATGATTCTTTCTTCACAATTCTTTGCATCTTTTTTTTCCTCTGCTGTCTTAATTTGTAAGAATAGACACTTTATAAGATCTGAGAATTAACCTGCTAGCTACTTCTGCAATAATATAATATTACAGCTGCTGCTTTCAGATGATGCTGATCCCGAGAAACACTGACAAGGTACGCTACAAATCCCATAGCCCAATGAAACCTCTTTAATTTGTCCAAATTCCAAATCTCAAAAACCAAAACAACATTGTCACACAATCTTTAGGAAAAGAAACTGCTCAAACAATAAAAAGGAAACCTAAATATTAAATTATTGCTTTTTTGTGGAATTGTATTGCAATAGTAGGTAGCTATCTAATTTAGCCGACTTAATTAGCTAGGGTTAGCTTAACAAGGGCGTTTTTTGAGACAAGCGAAGGAAAAGGATAAAGGAAGAAGGGAAAAAACGATGCAAATGAAATGAATGGAATGCAACATTTGGTTTTAGAGAGAATGACTTGTCTTTTTTGGCTTCTCATGGGATTACTGATTTTGACAGTCACAGCACGTCGCCTCCTACTTTATTTTCATATATATGCTTCCATCAGTATCATTCAATTTCTTTCTTGAGACTATTTTAATTTAAAAATAATTAACTTACTCATGCACCCAATGTTTAAATTTAAAATAGATAATGGATGTATAATGTATGTGTACGTAGTTTGAGTATATAAAATACAACAACATATCTACTGTAATCCCGTATAGTGGGTCTGGGGAGGGTAATGTGTGTACGCTGATCTTACCCTAACCCTCGAAGAGGCTTATATTTGCATGTGTATATAATCTATGCATTCTAGATACAAAAGCTATTTGTGTGAAGATCCTTTAAAGGTTTTAGGTAAAAAAGGAAAAAACCTCATATATGGAGTAATGTGTTGTCCTATAGTAAAATTTGATGGAGCCTGGAAACTTATTCAAACTTGATCCAACATTCTCATGAGAAATAGTTATAGAAAACTACATGAAAGCATGGTTTGATTAGAATTGTATGATTAGTTTTATCTTTGTAAAAGCTATTCTTATAAACTCTTTTCACTACAAATAAAGCAAATTTATGTTAAGGGTGTTAAACTTTAAAAGAGTGATGAATAAATGGAACTATGATGGTCCCAATAGAACAATATAGACCCACCCTCATTGAAACATGATGGTGATTTCTAACAGCTTTTTTCCTCCATTGGCGCATTGAACTTTTGTATTTTTGTCAGTTAAAGCATCGGATCATCTATTACACAGTGTAATGTGTAATAGAACTATATACTATGTGTTACTCTGAATAATTAACTTTTCACTAACTAGCATCCCTTTGCCGTGTACTTAATCTAAAAGGGGAAGTAAAAACAAGGAGTGTTTCTAATTGACATTGTATATAATTTTAAATCGAGAAGAATTTAAGTTATATAGTCAGACCTATTTATAACAGCATCTTTATATAACAGTCATTCACTATAAAAGTTAAGTTTTCTTAGAATCGATTTTTTTAGTTATATTTTACCTCTCTATAACAGCTTTTTACCTATAAAAGCAACAGCCATATTTATAACAGAACGCTATTTGTAACCCTTTATAACAGCTATATAGATTATTTAAGATTACTAATAATAATTCTAAATATATGCACACAATCTTTTTCATTGAACAAAGTTTATACCTTGCATAAGACATAAGATTTGAAGATCTGCACATGATATATTTTCTATTGGATATCTTTTTGCTGAAAATTTGGACACGGGTCTTCGCCATTTCAAGTGTTATATTGGTAGTAAGAGAATGAAATCTACGAAACAGCTACAATTACAAAATTCTTCCATCAATCTTGAAAGAATTTATTTTTCTAGTAGATTTAAAATGTGTGCCTTAGAGTTTAAATCTTTGTACGTTTACTTGATGAATTTATGAATAATATAGCATTAGCTTCTTCAATATATACCTAGTGAAATATGCATATCTTCTGAGATTTTAGATTTGAAGAATTTTCTTATCTTTTATGTGAAACATTAAAATAAGAATAATGATTAGCTTTTGGATAGTTTATCTATAACAGCCAAAAAATATTTAAACGTTTAATGTTGTTATAGGTGTATAACAGCCATTCGCTATAAAAGGCAAAAAAATTCGAAACAAACTAGGCTGTTATAGAGAGGTTTGACTGTATATAACGTAAGAATTTAATTTTACACTATCATTCGCTATAAAAGGCAAAAAATTTCTGAACAAACTAGGTGCTATAGAGAGGTTTGATATCAGTATCAGTAATTTCTCTTAGGTTTGATATGCTTTTTGAATTAAGGTGGAACTAACATTTCCCTGTTTCCCATAATTTACTGCCATAACTCTTTCAAATGAAAAATTATGGCTGCATTAAGTTTAACCACCTTTAATAAATGGCTAACGAGTTACGTCATTAATATTAAAAGTAGTTTTTTCTTTTAAATTAATGAAATTAAAAGCAAGTGGTATACATAGTGTAGCGGAAACGTGGCTACGTAAGTTATAGGTATTGAACTTTCTGTATCCTTATACCATTTGTTGAACCACTTGTAGTGAATTTTAAAGGGAAAAAGGAGAAAGAGAAGAAAACAAATAAAGGAGGAAAGCGAAAAATAGGAAATGAATGGACAGCAAAATGGGAAATATAAACGGAAGAAGAGAAAATTAAACTTTAACTCAATTTTTACTGTCTAGTTTTCTTTTTTCTTTTCTTTTTTCTTTTTTTAGGGGGGGGGGGGGGGTTTGTAGGTGAAAATAATAGTCAATAAATTTAGGTTTAGCCTAAAGTGCTGTCCCCCAACTTTTAGAGCTGAATTTAATGGGATTAAATTTGAACGAAGTTTAGCCTAGATGTAATTTCTCCCAGAAAATATCTCCCTTATAGATAATAGATATTTTATTACGTTGTACTATATCACATATAATAAACTTAATCATATATTTTTATTTTGGTAATTACGTACAATAGATATAGTGATAGCAAAAAGGCTAGAAACTAAAGTTAATAAGAACTAATAAATTTTGGATTGATAAAATCCTAATTAAGACACAATTTTACCAGCAAAAACATATATAATCTGGTTTTATGAATTTGGAGTTCAAATTAAATTCCAAATTGATCCTAAAAGAGATATCAATTGTTATGTTGTGTAAGTGTACTCGAGCTTGAAGGAAACGGAGAACGCTTTTTGGTTTGAAGAAACAAGAAGACAAAAGGCAAAAGCAATTATTAGTTTGTGGCATACAAAAATTGAAGGTTACCCCCAAATAAGAGGCAAAGGGCTGCTACTTTTTCATATGGTAAGTCTAGTACTGTAGTGAATAAAGGTTTATATATATATATATATATATATATATGCTTGAGTTTTTATCCGTACAATTAGCTCAAGTTTGAGGTTAGAGAGGACATACATTCAATTTAGACACAGTCAGAGTTAGTTCATCTAAAATCTAGGATCAATTTAGGTAATTATGTAGCTCAATTTGACCCATAAAAGTTTCGCAGAAAAATTGAAAAATAAATTGGTTTTATTTCGAAGGTTTAATATAGTTACAAAAACTAAAATAGATTTCTTTATTAGTTTGATTTGTTAATTAAATAAATAATAAAAGAATTAAAAAAAAATACGAATTATGTTATGACTCATTAGTTAATCCAAATTAACCCGTCTTAATTCCTAGAGCCAAATAAATTTGAGTAGGTTATATTTATCAATTCAGCTCGTTTAATCTGCTCAAATCTAACTCAATTCCCCCATTTCAAGACTCAATTTTTGCCCACAAAATCCAAAGGAGAAGGAATACGTTAGGAAAAAGCATGTGTTATGGACCTCCCAATAAAAGATGATCAACTCGTGCTCTCTTTCCCTCTTTATTCCGAGTTGATAAGGACTTGCTTTCATTTTCTTGAATTATTTGCATTGCGTTTCACTTCTTCAATTTCCTTTTTCATCATTATCACATGGGTGTCCTTCACTTACTTTTTATAAAATTAAATAAATTATTTTTGAGATTATTTTATGTATAAAAATTATTTGTTTTGGTTTCCTAATCTTTGGTATTAGCATTAGGCGTCAATTAATTCAGGTTTGTGCCACGTAATACTCCATTTGCCTTTTTCGTCGTAGTCACATGGGCGTCCTTTGCTTAGTTTTTATACAAATTAAATAAATTATTAATTTTGAGATTAAATTCAACTATATATAAAGTATATTTTTTCCTTGTCACTGTTCATTACGTAAAAATAGCGTGTGGTAGCCACTAAGTAAGGTGGTATTTATTTTTTATCCACCAATTCTAATGTTGAGCAAAAAAGTCACTAATCTATTAAAATTATTTTGAAAAGACAATTTTACCCTTTCTTCTATTCCGAAACCTTTCTTCTATTATTTTATTCCCAAACCCTTCTTTTATACGTTTCTGTGAATTTAATTTGAAAGCCAAAATTTCAGAGGCAAATTTCGCTCCCTCAGTATCAGTATCGTTCCTTGCATGCAAATCTTTATTTGATTTTGTTCCTGCCCAGCAATTCTCTGCGTGTAGTTTGTTCCACTTAATCTCTTCTCCTTTGTCACCTTCTCTGCATCGAACCAGCGAACTGGTATGTTTTTTTTTTTTTTTGCATTTTTCTTTTTGTATATCCGTAATCGCGATCAACGATGTGTTTGTCATCAAGTATGTGTGGAATAAGGAGCGAATTTTGTGAGGAAGTTATTCAGAACTTTTTGGTATTGAAATGTGTTTGTGGTTCAATCAATATATTTGATTATGTAAGAACATTTCATTAAAATAGTCCTAAGAATTTGTAAGCTGACTGTGTTTATAAAAATATTGTATTGAAAAAGTTATGGGCACGATGCCCTTAACTTTTTTGTTGTTGTTCTGATATTAAGGATATAGTGTCCTGTTTTGCAAATTGTATTGAAAAAGTTAAGGACACGATGTCTTTAACTTTTTTGCTGTTGTTCTGAATATTAAGGACATAGTGTCCTGTTTTTGCAAATTGTGTTGAAAACGTTAAGGACACGATGTCCTTAACTTTTTTGCTGTTGTTCTGAATATTATGAAAAAGTTAAGGACACGATGTCCTTAACTTTTTTGCTGTTGCTCTGAATATTAAGGACATAGTGTCCTGCTTTTGCAAATTGTATTGAAAAAGTTAAGGACACGATGTCCTTAACTTTTTTGCTGTTGTTCTGAATATTAAAGATGCATCTACTTAGGTCCTGGATTTTAGTTTTTTAGTTTAAATATTAAGGACATGTCAGAAAAATAGTCCTAATTTTTTATGTTCTTTTTCCTTCTTTGTAGTGTGCAAATGGAAGGAGATCGTGTTTTCGAGTTTGATGTTTGGCGTAATTCGATGAGCTATTGGAAAGGAGATTTTCAGTTCAAGGAAACAATAAAAAGTTTCTTGTCGAGCACAAAATGGAAGAAGTTGAAGGATGGTATTTTCGGAAACTTTTTCCGATTACAAGGT